CAAATTTTTCGAGAAATTTTGAGCTCAGCCTAGAAATTAAAATGAATGACAAAAAAAAAGATATCCTGAACTTTTCAATAAAAATTATGAAATGTAGAATGAAAATTTGGAAGAAACTCATATCGGTTTTTGTAAAACAAATAAAACATTTGGTTGATACCACACAATATAGATCAAATGTAAAAGCAAAAATAATTAAAAAGATGTTAGTTTGATCACACACGATCAAATGAGTTTTTGTGTGGTTCAAACATGTCTTGTAGCGTGATAGATATTTCATTTCTTCTTCCTTTTTTCTTAGGGCAATTTTCATTTCTTTTGTTTGTAACTTACCAAATATGTATTTATCTATCACAATAAATGGGTCTGCAGGTTTAGAAAATGGAATCTACCTTAATTCTTCACTGAATATGATTGGTTTAATTTAGCAACCAAACAAATTCCAGGAAAATACTCAAATATAGTAAGACTTTGGCATGTGAGCATGCAAGTACAGACAATGAGACTCCTATGATAAGAGATGTAGAAAGAACATTTATCTTGCCTTGCAGATATCGGAGAGAGAAGGAAAGACAGAACAGCGAACAAGCAGAGAAAGGTTTATGTTTTGTCAAAATATTTTCCATCTGCATCATTGTTAATGCCATAGGAGCAAAACAGAGAAAGAGAAAATACAAAATGATTGCGTTTATGGAAAACTCTAAAACGGTAAGACTTTGGCATGTGAACTAGCAAATGGTACAGACAATGAGACTCCTATGATAAGAGATGGGGAGTAGCAAGAACATTGATTTGAGATATTACCCCAAGCTAAAGCAAGAAAGAAATGCCATAGGAGCAAAACAGGGAAAGAGAATACCGACAATAATGAGACTCCTATGATAAGACATGCAGATAGAACATTGATTTGAAAAATGTCTCCAACTAAAGACATAAAAGAAAAATACAGAAAAAAGCTACGGAAACTACTCAGTTACAGATGGCAAGCTTCCTGTTCAGTTCATCGGCTGACCCATAGTCCAGGCTTAGCTCCGATAATGA